TGGTCTCTGGTATGGGCATCTGACAAGGGCTGCTTAGAGCTGGGTATCCGTGCAAGTGAAGGGAGGGGCGGGCAGGAAACGGGTATAGAAGCTGGGGGAGAAATGGCTATAACACCTATTGCCAGCTCAATCTGAGATTGTGAGTGGGGAAACTGGGTTTACCTGATTGTGTTAGGAGGTGGCCAGGACTCCTCCCTATGGGGACTCTTACCACCTCAGCCAGTCATCTTCCTAACCAGGGCCATTTGAACACTCATGTTTTAAAGAGTTATTCTTGCTGTTATCCACAACTGGAGACCCCAAGACCAAGGTGAAGGACATTGACCAGGGTCCTGTCTTGGGCTTTGGGGGAAAAAAACCAAGGTTCCTTACCATTCCACACATGACCTATTCATAGTGTGGTGTCCTGGAAAGAATACTGTCTAGTAAATCAAACCACCTGGTTGTGCCTTGGCCCTGCCACTTACTGGCTATGTGAGGTTGCAGGCGTGTATTCCCACACCTCTTAGTTATGTGGAAGGCCTTTCTGATTCTGACAGGTTCTCAGCCCCTGGCACCTTAGATTTCTCCTTCCTCTAGCTTCCATTTCTGACTCTGACTTCACTTGATTGCTCAGTGCAGAGTTCTCGGGCCTGCCCTGCTCAGGGCTGCTCATCACAGTTTCTAACGGTACACACACGAGGTGTCACCATCCTTGGGAGAGGAGAACTTGGAAGCAGCAGCAAGGGCCTGGCCAGAATAAGCCCTTGGGCCCAGAGTGCCAGAGCCCCATTCAGTCAGCAGGCTTATCCAGCTCCTTGGAGTGGCAGCCCATCCGGGAGGTGTCCTGACACCTGTGTACCCTGCACAGGGTCCCTGATGGGCCTGGGTGACATTATCTCACAGCAGCTGGTGGAGAGGCGAGGTATGCGGAAACACCAGATTAGCCGGACCCTGACCATGGCCTCTCTGGGCTGTGTCTTTGTGGTAAGTTCGCCCATAGCAGGGCTGCTGGTGGTCTGTTTCCCTTGGCCTCTCGCACATCTACGCTAACCTGAGTGTATGCTTGTCCTGGGATTTGGTTTCTAACGCTTGGGGGAGGAGCTGTGTGCTGTAAAAGCCAACTGCTTCCCTCACTGCATCCCTGCCCCTCCCTGGGGGTTACTTTCAGGGCCCTGTAGTAGGAGGCTGGTACAAGGTTTTGGACCGGCTCATCCCTGGCACCACCAAGGTGGATGCTCTAAAGAAGATGTTGTTGGATCAGGTGAGCAGAAGGAAGGGAGGTTGAGAAGTGAGCTGCATTGGGACAGTGGGGTTTAGGTGCTCACAGCATTTTCATTTCTCTTCCCTAGGGGTGCTTTGCCCCATGTTTTCTAGGCAGTTTCCTCTCACTGACAGCGGCACTCAATGGACTGTCAGCCCAGGAAAACTGGGCCAAACTCCAGCGGGTGAGTTGGGCAGGTGTGGGGTGATCTCTTGCTGTCCAGCTGGCATGCCCAGGGCAATGAGGCAGGCTTCATGGGGATAAGACAGGTGGATGTGCAGGGAGAGTCCCAGCTCTGGAGGAGAGGGGTGAGGGAGGTGTGGTGAAGATATGTGTTCTTTGCACAGAAGTCTGTGTGTGATAGGACTGGGAGGCAGGAGCTGCATGGAAGTGCAAGTAATTTCTTCCTTCTCTGTCTCCTTAGGATTATCCTGATGCCCTCATCGCCAACTACTATGTAAGAGCTGACACCTCTGCAGCCTGTTTTCCTGCTTCCTTGAGTCCAGAAGTGCCCAGGGATTGGGGGTGCTCCTGACATAGAAACCCCTTGGTTGGGATTACTCTCTCATTCCCAGTGCGGGCAGCACACTCGGGAGCAGTCACCCAGTTGTTCAGCTGGTTTTTGTTTACAACTGAACATGGGCCAGTTCTCATGGGGGTTGGTTGCTGGTCAGAACTTAATAGGGTCAGCACTGTGAAATGGCCCATTTCACTCGGGATGGGGTTGGGTAATGGAGGCAGCCCCCCAACATTTTCCTTCTCTCTCTTGTAGCTCTGGCCTGCTGTGCAGCTAGCCAACTTCTACCTGGTTCCCCTTTATTACAGGTATGACAGTTCCCTACCCTACCCTTCAAGGGAGAGCCACATTGTGAACAGTTGTAGATAAAGAGATTTTCATTCAACCTTGAGCTACTTTATTTTTTAATTTGTTTTTTTGTTAATCCTCACCTGAGGATATTTTTTTCCATTGATATTTAGAGAGAGTGGAAGGGAGGGGGAGAGACATAGAGATACATCGATGTGAGAGAGACACATCGATTGGTTGTCTCCCGCATGCGCCCTGACTGGGGCCAGGGATGGAGCCTGCTACCAAGCTACATGCCCTTGACCAGAATCAAACCTGGGACCCTTCAGTCCAAGGGTCAATAGGGGCAAGCCGGCTGGGGCTTGAGCTACTTTAGACGCCCCCAGAATACTCTGCCCTGATCAGAGCTCCTAGATTCCTGAGTATCTTCCCACTGACCTTTCATCTCAGGGAGAGTCCTGCTCCACAGCCATTGGCTCATCTCACCTGAGCTCTCCACCCTTGCTGCAGGGACAGTACCTAGGGGCTGCAGCCTAGATTAGAAGAAAGGTAGGCCAAAGAGCCATATAGGTGAGTTTAGTCCACAGGTCGGGTTAGTCCACTGCAAAATATTATTTTACCCTAATAATAAAGGTAGTTGCTGAAACTACAATTTAAAAAAGTTGAATTCAAGATGACTAGTTGAAATTATTGGAAGTGAGGGGGCTTTGGGAACAGGGAAAAATACAAAACTCTTAAGAGAGGACATGGTCGCCGAAACCAGTTTGGCTCAGTGGATAGAGCGTCGGCCTGCGGACTGAAAGGTCCCGGGTTCGATTCCGGTCAGGGGCATGTACGTTGGTTGCGGGCACATCCCCAGTAGGAGATGTGCAGGAGGCAGCTGGTCGATGTTTCTCTCTCATCGATGTTTCTAACTATCTCTCTCCCTTCCTCTCTGTAAAAAGTCAATAAAATATATAAAAAAAAGAGAGGACATGGTCAAAATATGCATGAATAGCATAGCTAAAAGGAATATAGACTCAATGAACCAAAATTTAAACATGAGGGTCCTTGCACAGTCTTTGAAACTAAAACAAGGTAAAATAAAGAGAAGAAGGCGCTATTTTCAATGGCAGATAGTACATTTTGAAGACGTCTTCTCAGCTGGTACAAAGTGCATAGGAACGTGTGTTTAGAAGGAGCCTGCACAGGGGCATGAACAACAGCCATGCAAGGCCAGATGGCTGCTGAGGGCATTTCACTTTGAGGCTCTTGTGCAGGAAACAGCTCTGGGACAGCACCAGCCCTGAGCTGGTTGTCCTCTGGTCTGAGCCACACACCCCTCCGTAGAGGGCTAGAGGAAGGAGATCTGAATGTGGATGTTCTCAGAGATAACACCTCTTCCATCACATTCTCCTGTCTGTCCCCCTTTGCTGTCTCCTTATCCATCCTCTTCACGATGCCATTCCTGTTCCTTAGGTTGGCTGTTGTGCAGTGTGTTGCTGTTGTCTGGAACTCCTACCTGTCCTGGAAGGCGCATCAGCTCTAAGCTTGCCTTGCAGTGATGCAGCTTGACCCTGGAACGGTCAGATGACCTCAAAGTGGGCACATCAGTTTTCATGGGGTTTGGTTGCTGGTCAGAACGTAATGGGGCCAGCACTATGAAATGGCCCGTTTCACTCTAAACTGTAAACGACTCCTTTTGAATTCACTAAAATCTTTATTGTGGTCTTATGCCCGCCACATAATAGGCAGTCCATAGTATTTGTTGGACCATATGATCTTGGCAACTTTAGTTTATGCCCATATCCTGGCAAATGCCATTTATCCCCACTGTTCATTGATATAGTTGTTTCTCCAACCATTTCCAACCCTAGTGTAGCTCCAGTTCTTTGGGGATCCCCTCAAACTCTTTATGTGGTACTTTCATAAGTATGGAATCCGGTACCTCTATAAAAATGTCATCTGGAACCTGCAGAGGCCATGAGTAAGACCCAACAGAAAAATACTAGGGAGTCAATTTCTAGAGATGGAAAGAAAAGCCTAGAGACCACCAAGCCCAGCCTTCACAGATGAAGACAATGAGGTCCATAGAAGTGAGGACCTGTCCACAGCACAAGTTAGTGGCAGAACAGAAACTTGAACCCATGTCCTAGAGGTTGCACTTTTTTGTATAACCCCAAGTTCATATGGTGGAAAACCCAATGTCCAAGGTGACGGTATTAGGAGTGGGACCTTTGGGAGGTGATAAGGTCATGAGGGCAGAGCCCTCATGGGATTAGTACCCTTATAAAAGCTGCCTATGAGGACACAGCAAAAAAGTGCCATCTAAACCATTAAGCAGGTCCTCAGAAGACACCAAGTTCATTGGCGCCGTGATCTTGGACTTCCCAGTCCCCAGAACTATGAGAAATAAATGCTCGCTTATAAGCCACCCAGTTTTGTTTGTTTGTTTGTTCCAGCACCTCCAATGGACTAAGACACCATGTTTCCTTACTTTCTACCAAGGGATCTTAACCAGGAAGTCAAAGATCCAGTGATGGTGCTACTGTGATTCCCAGGAGAAAAATTAACTTGACTGAACTACCACTCTGGGGCAAAATCAGAAGAGATGGGTCAGCTTTTTATGGTCTGAAAGTATGCTGCGGCCAGAAATCTTTTTTTATGGTGCCCAGTCAGCCCTAGAATTTAGATCCTGGGGCTGGAGTAAGATCAAGAATCCTGGCCAACTCAGCCTGCCTCCGCTGCCTCTTGGGTGGGTACCATGGTGATGGCTCAGTGCCCGCCGTGCTATCCTGGTTGCCTCAGTTTACAAAACGGTCTGTGCAGCACAGCATGCTCCCAATGCCGCTGACCCCTCTGGGGGCCGGGGGCAGGGTCAGCACCACGGACAGCCCCAGGATCCGGCCGCCCTTTCTTGTGCCAGAGAAGACTGGCGGTCTGGTCTGGTCTGGTCTGGGGACTGGCCTAGTCACTGCAGTCTGTTCTCAGTGGTGAACGACTCTTATGGCGCCCACAGCAAGCTTTCCGCCCCAGCCAGCGCCTTGCTCACGGGAGTCCGCTGTCGCTTCCAGCGCAAGCCCCAGAGACCTGCCCCTCGGGGGACCCGCTGGACTCGAAGCCGCGACCGTCATCGCTCTACAACCGGTGCATGTCCCTCGCTGACGTCAGCCGGAGCGGCCCTGGAGCTATATAAGCTGGCGGCGGTCCCGGGACAGACCCCGTGTTTCCCCGGCGCCCTCAGCCCGCCCCAGGGACCGACCGGAGCTCCGTCCTGCGCTGCGCAGCCGCTCTTCCCGCACCTGTGAGTGGCCCTGGGCGCGCCCGCCGGACTCCCTCTGCACCAGGACTCGGCGCTCCGCTCACTTACGGGGGCCGCTAAGAGGGGAGGAGGGAGGAAAGGGTGGCACAGGACTGGGCAGCGGCTGGGGCTGCAGGGAAGGTTGCGGGCACCGGGCAGCGGCCGAAGGGGACCTGCGGGGACGCTGGACGTGCACGGGAAGGGGAGCGGTGCCACCTGCGACTGCTCCACGCGCACCTCACCCTGCGCTGCTCCTGTGTGTCCAGGGCCGGCGGCACCATGAGGCTGGCCGGACGAGAGGCGCTGCTGGCGGCGCTGCTGCTTCTGGCACAGCTGCGCCCGGGGAGCAGCCAGTGGAGCCCGGAGGAGGCGGCGGCGGCGGCCAGGGTCCGGGACCCGAGTCTGCGCTGGAGCCCCGGAGCTCGGACCCAGGGCGGCGGGGCCCGCGCGCTCCTCCTGCTGTTGGCGGAGCGCTTCCCCCACCGCGTGGGGCCCGGCAGATGGGGAGCTGGGACCTCGGGCGAGCGGCCGCGACGGGAAGACCCTACGCTGTCCATCGACCTCACCTTCCACCTCCTGCGGACCCTGCTGGAGCTGGCGCGGACGCAGAGCCAGCGGGAGCGCGCGGAGCAGAACCGCATCCTGTTCGACTCGGTGGGCAAGTGACCCGCGGGGCCTGGGGCCCCGAAAACCTGGACCCGACCCCCCACCCCCGGGCTGGCACCTGCTCGACCGGAACTGACCCATCCCGCGGGGCTGGAGCGGCCGGGGATGCCTTGAACACTCTCTGCGTGGCTAGTTTTTAATAAAAGTGCCGAAGAGCCTTTGGCCTCTGTTGTGGGGCGCGGGGAGCAGGGTGGGCGCCCACAGCGAAGCGAGGGAACTGCTGCCAGACGAGCACTTAGGAGAACGGTCCAGATCCCCTTCGCCCCTAGAAGTCCCCCAGGAGCTCGTCCCTTCCCTCCTCCGCACCCCCTACTCCTTGCCCGCGGCTGGGCTGGGGAATCCGTGCCTCCAATCAACGAGGCGCCCAATAGGGGTTCATTCACTTCCGCCCCCCCCCCACCGCTCGCTGGTCCCAGATCCGGAGAAAGGGGGACGGGGAGG